TAGGAATCAAAATCCATGTTATCATTGTGGCATTGGGCTCTTTCTTAGAGCAAAGAATAAACATCTGGTAGTTTGTTTAATAGCAAAGAGTCCAGCCAGGAGGCTGGGGATGTGGCTTAGTGGTAGAGTGCTTGCCTAGCATCCATGAAGCCCTGGTTTTGATTCCCCAGTAACACACAAACAGAAAAAACGGGAAGTGTTGCTGTGGCCGAAGTGTTAGAGAACAGAGAGGCTCAGGGACAGAGCCCAGGCCCCAAATTAAAGCCCCAGGACCGGGGAAAAAAAGAAAAAAAAAAGTCTAGCCATTTAACATTTGGTTATCCTGGTGCTATTAACAGAAAAAGTAATTTCGGCAGAAATACCTTAGAGCTTTGTCGACACCCCCAGCCCCCTCCTCATCCAAGTATCTGTCCCCCTGAAGAGCTCCTTGTCTCTCCTCTATCAATTCTTGATGTGTCTCTCTCATTTTGCTGGTCCAACTATTGCCTCTACACATTTGTTCAGGCATTTCCCCAGCCTCACTTGCTTTGATTTCATGAAATCTTGCCTGACTTGTACCACGTGCAATTTTATTTTGCCTTGTCTGGCTGGACCTAAATTGTTTGTAAGTTTATATTGTTATCTACTTATGAGGTCCCTTGTGAGTTACTTACAGTCTCTTATGACAGACAATATAAATAAGACTGTAATAAGTAACTTTGTACAAATATATTTTTATAGACAATCAGATACGAATACAGCTGAATTCTTAGAAGATGATATAGTTAGGTCAAAGGTAAATATGTCTTATATTGTTATAGATTTTGTCAGATTGCCCTGCATGGAGTTTATGGGTGGGAGGCTAAGTTGATCCACAATAAGAAACTGTCTGTTTCTGCCTCAGCCACATTGTCTATAATTAAGCTTTTTATTTAATTTGCCAGTATGATAAAGTAGGCCCACCATCAATGTGTAGATGTAATGTGTCTCTTAGTGTAAATGAGTTCAAGCATTTTCTTTTGTATGTTTTAAGATTCATTTCTCTTACCTGTCAGGAAGTTATTTCATCAGATCCTTTGCTTATTTTCTAATGCAGTTTGTTGTTCTCGATTTGTAGGACATTAATCTGTTACCTCTGATGAATTTTAATTTTGTTGATAGTATGTTCAAGTGGTTATTTAAAAACTATTAGACAGTCATTGTGTTTCTCTCTTGTAATGAAATTAGTAACACAACAATTATTTTGTAACAGTGATGCTTTTCATTATGGCTACTGTTTTTCATGTCTTCATAGACAGGCCTTTCCCTAGAGAGATATTTAAAAGGGTTCTTGCTGGGTGCTGGTGGCTCATGCCTGTAATTCTGGCTGGCTACTTGGGAGGCTGAGATCTGAGGATCATGGTTCAACGCCAGTCCAGGTAGAAAAGTCTGTGAGATTCTGGGGCTGGGAAGATGGCTCAGTGGTAGAGCGCTTGCCTTGCATGCCTGAGGCCCTGGGTTTGATTCCTCAGCACCACATAAGCAAAAAGAAAAAAGCCGGAGTGGCACTGTGGCTCAAGTGGTAGAGTGCTAGCCTTGAGCTGAAGAGCTGAGGGACAGCACCCAGGCCCAGAGTTCAGGCCCCACGTCCGGACCCAAAAAAAAAAAGAAAGAAAAAGAAAAGTCTGTGAGATTCTTTTATCTCCAATTTACCACCAAAAAGCTGGAAGTAGAGTTATGGCTCAAGTGGAAGAGCACCTCAGAGACAATCCCCCCTCCTCCCACCTCTCTCCCCATACCTTGTACTGACTTGGGCATTTGTGCAAGACAGACACACACACACACACACACACACACACGAGTTCTCATTTCTTCCATACTGTTCATGGTTCTGTTTACCATTTAATACTGACCTGTCTGAACTACTTGGGGGTCTATGGCTTAGCTTTCCCTGCTATGTCCTCACACTCCTGTGTGGCCCTTCTGCCAGCTCCTCTGTCCTTCTGCCCAGCCCTTTTCTTTTGAACATGCAGCCCTATTTGACAGTCTCACTTTTCCCTCATCATGCCTGAACAGGAATTTTCCTATTTTATGCTTCTTACCATAACTGGAATGACTAGTATGTGACCACACCCAGCTTCTTTCCTTGAGTTTCATGAGCTTTTTTTTTCCCCCCATGGGCTAGCCTGGAACCACAACTCTGCCATCTCAGCTTCCGCCTAGTTGGAATGTCATGTAGCACCATATCTATTGGTTAAAATGGGGGTCTTGTGAACTTTTTGCCCAGGCTGGCCTTAAATCTAGATCCTCTTGATCTCAGCCTTCTCAGTAGCTTGAATTACAGGCATGAGCCACCAGTGCCAAAGTGAGTTTGCAGTTTTTTAACATCTACAAGGAGAAGGGAAAATTTCATGAGGATAGATTACTGCTCTGAGTTTTTAAAATTTTTATTTCATGATTCTGTTTTAATTCCTAAATATCTCTTTTTAAATTTTATTTTTTATTTTTTTGCCAATCCTGGGGCTTGAACTCTGGTTCTGGGTACTATCCCTGAGCTTCTTCTGTTCAAGGCTAGCTCTCTACCATTTGAGCCACAGTGCCGCTTCTGGCTTTTTCTGAATAATATATTGAAGAGTTGCATGGACTTTTCTGCCCAGGCTGACCTCAACCAGTGATCCTCAGATCTCAGCCTCCTGAGTAGTTAGGATCACAGATGTGAGCCACCGGTGTCCTCCTGTTTTCTTATGTAATTTCCCTGTCACCTCATGTATCTGTCTTGACTCATAGTGTTTGATAACTGTATAGACTTAGTTTTTTAAAAATACATTTCTAATACACCGAAGTATCCTTGTGTTCCTGATTTGATTAAATAAAGTCATAGGTAGTAATCATTTATTGTCACAAATAAGTTATTTATGCCAGAAAGATAGTGATGGTTTTTTATTATATTTGTTTGTTTTTATGCCCATAAGGGGATTAAGCTCAGGGACTGGATACTTACCCTTAGCTTGTTTGCTCAAGTCTGGTGCACTATCACTTGAGTTACAGCTCCACTTCTGGCTTTTTGGTAGTTAAATAGAGATAAGAGTATCACAAACTTTCTGTCAAGGCTGGCTGTGAACTGCGATCCTAATATCTCCGCCTACTGAGTAGCTGGAATTACAGATGTGAGCCACAGGTGCCTAGTTACTGACTTTCTTTTAATGATTTCTTATTGTTATTATTATCTTACATCAGTTGTACAAGGGACATTTTATTGTGCCATTTCCATGCATGCATACAATAAACCTGATCAGCCTCAGACTCTATTCCTCTCCCTTATCCTGCCCTTCCTTTGTCTGATTATAGTCATTCTTTATCACCCTTTCCATTCACCCACCCACTCCTGTTGATACCCACGTCCCAACAGAGCTGGCTTATTTTCCTGCCATTCTTCCCTTTTTTGGTGTCTATTCATTGCACCTAGGGGCAGCAGATGGTTGTTCTTTAGTTGTACACACACACAAAGAAAAAATGTATATCGTCATTTGGCCTCAACAGTTGCACTCAAAATGAGTCAGACTGCTGTGTTATAAAATGAAGTCACTCGCCAGGCGCTGGTGGCTCACGCCTGTAATCCTAGCTACTCAGGAGGCTGAGATCTGAGGATCACGGTTCAAAGCCAGCCGGGGCAGGAGAGACCGTGAGACTCCTATCTCCAATAAACCACCAGAAAACCGGAAGTGGCGCTGTAGCTCAAGTGGTAGAGCGCTCGCCTTGAGCTGAAGAGCTGAGGGACAGCGCCCAGGCCCAGAGTTCAAGTCCCACGACCAACCAATATGGATCGCTTTGGAGCAGGCCACAGCCTGCTCTCTATTCTCTATTCAGTGCTTCGTAGCACTGCTGCCTCCCTTTGTCTGTTGGTTGCTGCTCTTCTCCCATTCCTTCTAGACTACTATATCTAGGTAAAAGGAGATTCTGTATCTTTACTGCTGTTTCTTTGATAAGGTGAGATTGCAGAGCAAGACTGACTCCTGCCCCGAGTCCCAAGAGCACTCTACCCCTTGTGTTTCATATACAGCCTGGCTGTATGACCTCTCACTTCTCACCTACTTGCTTTCACTCTCTCTCTCGCTCTCTGTGTCTCTCTGTCTGTGTCTGTCTGTCTGTCTGTCTGTCTGCCTCTCTCTCTCTTTCTCTCTCTTTCTCTCTCTCTCCCCCTCTCCCCCTCAGTCATGGGGCTTGAACTCAGGGCCTTGGTACTACCCCTGAGCTCTTTTGCTCAAAGCTAGTACTCTACTACTTTGAGCCATAGCACCACTTCTGGTTTTCTGGTGGCTAATTGGAGATAAGAGTCTGCCTGGCCTCGCCTTGAACGGTGATACTTAGATCTCAGCCTCCTGAGGATCTAGGATTATAGGTGTGAGCCACTCGTTCCCAGCTCTCTTTTCTTTTCTCTTTTTGTCCTGGTCCTGGGGCTTGAACTCAGGGTCTAGGCACTGTCTCTGAGCTTTTTTTTTTTTTTTGCCTAGCAGTCTCCCACTTGAGCCACAGCTGAAATTCCAGCTATTTGGTAGTTAATTGGAGATAAGAGTCACATGGACTTTCCCGCCTAGGCTGACTTCCAACCACGATCCTCAGATCTCAGTTACCTGAGTAGCTAGGATTATAGGCATGAGCCACCAGTTCCCTTCTTGCTTTCTAATTTTTTTAAAAGAAATTCTTAGAAACTGTACAATAGAATTTATGGTGATATTTCCGTATCTACATGTGATACATTTTGATCCTCTTCACTCTCTGTATCATCTATCTGTTTGCTTCTTTGCTCTGCTGTTACCGCTCCACCTTGGGTCATTATCTGAGATGCCCTGCCCTATGTGACCTTTTGTCTACTGTGCCCTTTGGCCTAAGGATGTGGCCTGAGATTGAGGCAGACCATAAAGGCCACAGGACAGGATGTTTGCACTTTTCCTGGGCACTCAGAGACCTGGCTGTTCTTAGCACTTCATTCATATTCCTTAAGATGATTTAATGCTTTGTCATTTAATTTCTTGTGATTCTAGAATCTCATTTTCAACTCCTGCCAAAGCCAGTAGCAGCTGAGAAAGAAAGCCATACTCTTTGAAAAGTAAGTATGGGTTTTGTTTTATTTTAAACATTATAGACTACCCCCATAAAAAGGCAGGTCTTTCTGAGGCTGGATCATTTCTGAACTCCCTCCTACCCTCTGTAGGCGACTTGAGCTGGGCGGTTCTCTGGGGTCAGATAAGAAGGAATTGGGTACCTGGAGGTTTTCCTCACTCTCAAAGCTCCTATAAACAGTTTTTATAGGTATGCCAGAAGCAGGACTCTGATGGGAAGAAGGTGGCGCAGTCTGTGGTAACCAGTGCTGTCCTTGGGAAATGTGGTGCTAGACCCGGGCTCTGGAGGCCTGGAGGAATTTATCAACTAGCCAGGAGGCCAAAAGTTTATCAGTTTGTCAGCAGGGCTCTGCTAGGAGAGGTCAGTGGGAGGGATAGAGCAGAGGCCAGTGCAGGGCTGGGTAGTTCAGGGAGCTGGTTTGTTGGGATGCTAGCAGAGACCGGGTGAGTCTAAATTACTACAGTGAGTGGGGATACTATGAGATAATTGATATTTCATTAGTTCAGTACAGTCCAAATCCTGGGGGAATTTGAGACGATCCCTCTCGGAGAGGGGATTGTGGGTGTGGGGAAACTTTTACAGAAAGGAAGCAAAGAGGAAAGAGGACCTGGCCATAGTGTGCTGACACAGAGCTCCGTTGCCTGACATGCAGTTCTCATTGTAGTGGGGTTTTCTTCCTACCCAACATTCCTAGTCAATATTGAGCCAAACTGGCCAGAGAAATAGCTTCTAGGAGACCTTCAAGGGTGTAGATCTGTTAATACTTGTGTTTTCCAGTATGGGAACTTTGATCCACATGTGACTGTGGATTACTTTGAAAGGTAGCTGCTGTAACTGAAAATTGAACATTAGATTCCATTGAATGAGTAGATTATTTAATCATTGAGTTGTTTTAGTTTGAATGACATTTTGTGTAGACTCAGACAGGTTAACTTTAGGGCTGGTACCTTTCCACCATTGCGTACTTAGAGTGGGAGCAAGGGAGAAGAACGGAAGATGCACTGGCATCCAGACTAGATTGATGAGGGTATTGGAAGTGATATTGGCAGAAATCAGTCAGACGAAGTGGTAGAGAGATATATCTGAGACATTGTGGCACTTTGTATTGCAGTTGGAAAAATTTAGAAAGAGGTCTGATTGGGTCTGTTAATTTTTAAATTTCCTATAAAGGGATTAGGGGAGGATGCAAGTGAGGAGAGAAGAGCATTATGGGAATATCCTGGGGAGAGAGCGAAGAGAGCATCCTAGAACCCTAACCAGGCTTGTTTCAATAGCAAGACTGCTGGAGCAGCAAACTGCAGATGAGGAATGGGCACAGTTCCAGAGGTGAAGAGACAAGAAGGCCATTAAAAAAGGCCAAGAACCCTGCAGCTTGGCCATACTTGCAAGGTGGCTGGCCAACCTTACCCTGCTTGCTCCACAGTTTCAGTGAGATAGAGAAGAGGATTGAGAACAACCTATGTAGTATAGTATTCTGTTCCTGCTCTCCTGTTGCTTCCACACAAGAGAATCTTTTCTCTGCATCCTTTTTATCTGCTAGTGTTTACATAATTTTGAGGAATCATTGTTTCAGAAGTCAGTGTTGGTTAGACACAACACTACCTAAGAGCTAGCTTATAATGCTTCCATTTCAAGGAATAGGACTAAGCTGGCAGGTGACTTAAAAATTTGAAATAAAAAAAATTAAAATACTGCCTGTTGAAACAGTTCTGGAGAATGGCAAAGGACACCCATGAGGATGTAGAACTCTGAGCCTTGTACACAGCGACACATAGTCCATTACTGCTCCAGAACTCTTTGCTAAGGTCAAGGTAGCATGAACTAAGGAGACCTAGGGGATTCAGTGAAGTTTAGGTCACCCCACCTCAAATTGGATTCACTGTTTTAGCCTCAGTGTTCTGTCCTCATCTTTGAAATGGAAGACATGCTTTCTGTTTTATAATAGTGTGAGATAAAATGGAAGGGTGCATGCCTGGCCCTGCCTGCGGAGGGTATCAGTGAATTGATGCCATTGCTCTTAGGTTTTTGGCTATGACGCAGGTATTTTTGTTGAGGTTATTGTTAAGGATCATCATTATTTTGAAGGGATCAAATTTGATGGGCTACAGGTAGGTGTCTAGAGAAAGGCAGAGTTCCATGAAAATGTCCTCCATTTGGTTTATTCTTGGATTTTGCTTTATCAACTGGAGATTCATGTGTTGGAGCTTAAGATTCTCCAGTTTTCAAAACAAGTGAGCGTGTTTAAAAGAGAATTGTGAAATGTCATGTCTGATTCCAAAATCCAGACTAACTCTATTTCCCTTACGCAGTGTTTATCTGGATCCAAGTAATCTTTGTCCTGTGTTCAGACATAAAGGCACAGCTTGGGTAGTGATAAGTGGAAGAGAAGGTCATGTGGCAGGTTGGGGGGGGGGTCTTTTGTGGCCTGTGACAATGGTTATACTGCCTGGTGCTGAAATGGCCAGATTCTTGTTGACATGACCTTACTTCACATTGCACTGCAGGACCCTGAGGTCCCTTGCCTCCTCCAATGGATACGAGGCGGGGAAAGTAAGGCAGTGAACATTATCAGCACCAAAAAAATGCTTACCAGATACTGTCTTAACTTCTGGAACAATTTAATAGGAGACAAGATTCTTGAGATGACAAGCCAGACCGTACTCTTTAATTGCCTGGCATAATTTCAGAAAGATTTGGTGTCACCAAAGTAGAAAGGAGGGGATTTGGTTGAATATCCGTATTCAGTAGATGAGGAGTCCAAGGTCTTTCAGTCAGAGTGTACAAGGGCCCCAACGGGAGGAGGAGCTGGCTAATGCCCCAGCCAGTGTGCAGGGGTCTGGGGAATCTGCCCCTTAGTGACAGCCATCCCCACATACATCATGATTCTCTGCAGACCTGTGTGTCACATACTTAGCAGCTTTAGGTGATTCCTTTTTATTTTTTTTTTTTTTTTTTTTGGTCGGTCGTGGGGCTTGAACTCTGGGCCTGGGCGCTGTCCCTCAGCTCTTCAGCTCAAGGCAAGCGAGTGCTCTACCACTTGAGCTACAGCGCCACTTCCGGTTTTCTGGTGGTTTATTGGAGATAGGAGTCTCACGGTCTCTCCTGCCCCGGCTGGCTTTGAACCGCGATCCTCAGATCTCAGCCTCCTGAGTAGCTAGGATTACAGGCGTGAGCCACCAGCGCCCGGCTTTCCTTTTTATTCTTAAAATTAATTAGCATCTACATCATAACTTGAAAGTATTTGTTTGCCGGGCACCTGTGTCTTGTGCCTATAATCCTAGCTATTCAGGAGGTTTGTAGTTCAAAGCCAACCTTATCTCCAGTTACAGAAAAAGCTAGAAGTGATGCTGTGGCTCAAGTGATTGAGCCGAAAGGAATGGAGGGACAGTGCCCAGGCCCAGAGTTCAAGTCTCAGGACTGGCATAAACAAACAAACAAACAAATAAATAAAAGTATCTGTTAAAATCAATGGAAGGGAATCGTGGTACTGACCAGCTAAATTGCTCCTGGAGTCCCCAGGATCAGAGAACTATTTAACATAGCTTCCTAGGGGAGAATGCAGTCATAATATTCAATGTGTATCCTGCGAAACTAGGAAAATGAGAGGGAGGGGTTGGGAGGAGAATGATGAGAGGGTGACATTGATCAAAATGCAGAGTTCTCATAAGCCGTGTTGGATCGTAACCCCTTTGTATGACTACTTAAAAGTAATAAAAGGAAGGTGGCTCAGTGGTAGAGCGCTTGCCTTGCATGCCTGAGGCCCTGGGTTCAATTCCTCAGTACCACATAAGCAAAAAGAAAAAGCCGGAAGTGGCTCAAGTGGTAGAGCGCTAGCCTTGAGCTGAAGAGCTGAGGGACAGCACCCAGGCCCTGAGTTCAGGCCCCACGACTGGACCCCCCCCCAAAAAAAAGTAATAAAAATTAACAACAACAACAACACTATTCTGAGAGCTCTCTGACTGAAGGGAGATAATGATTGTGTGTGTGTGTGTGTGTGTGTGTGTGTGTGTGTGTGTGTGTGTGTTAGCTAAAGCTGTGAACCTTGAAGCATGGCTTAATTTTCTCCTTTTCCTGCAAAGCATCTTGCACTGTCAGTCCTGTGGGTCTGTGGTCCTGGAAATGCTTACATTCAGAACAAATTTTCTCATTTTCAGTCACTGGTGGTTCCTAGTTCACAGGCTTCAGTTTTTGTGTCTCTAGCCTTCTCCTCAGCATGTAGATTATTCTATTCATAAACCCCAGCAGAGCAGAAGAACTGCTTTCTAAAGAAACAATGTTGCAGAGATAGAAATAACTGTCTACTTTTTATCTGTAGATAAAACATTGCAATTGGAAAGTGGTTCTGTTTTTTTGTTTTGTTTTGTTTCAGCCAGGGCCTATCCTTATTTGACCTTGTCAGAAAAAGCCTGCAGGTTCTCTGGAATAAATCTAAACCTTGCTCCATTGATCATATTCTACATTTCTGCTGGTAAATGGAAGATGGATCCTGGTAGAACTTTCTTTGAAACATATGACATGTATACTTGTTGACAGGCACCCACAAGGCAGGGAGGTATCTTTCTAAAGACCATAATTTCAGTTCAGGGCTGTTATTTCCAGTGTCAGAGCCTTGTACAGCTATATCCTCTGGCATAAAATGTTCTTATTCCTAGTTAAGTGTTCTACCACCGAGCCACACCTCCATCCTCTGTACTGTGAATTTAATAGGCGACCCCTCCAGGGAGTTTTTGGTTACTGGAAGAAGAAAAGCATCAGATCTCTTGCAGCATTCTTGGGAATCATTTTCCTTTACAGACAATTCAATAGCATTGGATCCATTTGTTAACTTTGCTTGTCATGAGTCCACTTCTGCTTAGCACAGAGAAAGAACATGCGTGGTTATTTCTACCCTCAGGGCACAGTGAGAAACTGGTCACTGAGTCAGGCTCACTGGGACAGTTGTTCTCAGCAACTAAGCTCCCAGGAGAGCAGTTGAATAAGAAAAGAAACAAGGGTGCTGCTTAGGCCTGGGCAGAGAGAATAGGGTAGAATATGGCTGAGGAGTGTCTAACTCACCTAGCCAAATTGGTCTCCCCTTTTCAACCTTGAGCACCTTGTTTGGCTAAGTCTCTAGGAGAGAGAACTCTTCATGGAGAAATCAGAGATAATGAATGTAGGCACCTAAGAACGAAAGGGATTGCAAAGATTAAGAGACCATTGGAAACAATGACATGAACTAGAGCTTGGCACAAGGGGTTTTGTTGCAATCAGAAGCCCATTTTTTAATCACTGTTGTACCAGCTGGGTGACCTGGATAAGTTAGTTAAGCTTTCTGAGCCCCAGTTTTCTTCAAGTTTATAAAACAGGGGAAGCAGGTATGGTGAGATCTGCCTGCCCTGGGCCCACATGGCAGCCCTCATCTGTGTTTATGAGCCTTTAGGAAGACCTCAGAAAGCTACCTTTGTCTCTTGTTCCCCTTGCAGTTTCTTGTTATATATCACTTATATCTTAATGTCATATATGTATATTGGAAAGACAATATATTTAATTGGAAAGACTTGAAAAGTGGAAATCAAACCTCTTATCTATCCATGACACCCAGTTCTCTATTATCCACCTTAGAAATAGCCATGGATTGATTATATCTGCACATCTGCCCAGCAGTACTGTCTGTGCACATGGTCCATGTGTACCTATATCTTTTTCTTCATTCATGTCTTAGAAGTTTTTGGTCTCCTTTTTATGTTTAAGAATGGCAATTCTGGGGCTGGAGGCATGATTCAAGTGGTAGAGTGCCTGCCTAGCAACTCCAAAGCCCTGAGTTCAAACCCTATTACTCTCCTGGCCCTTGTATATATACACAAAGACAAATCTGAGTATGATCGCACATTCCCTGTTACTCTAGCACTGGTGACTGCATAGTGAGATCCTACTTCAAGGAAAGAAAGGAAGGAAAGAAAAGGGAAGAGAAGGGAAGGAAGGAAGGAAGGAAGGAAGGAAGGAAGGAAGGAAGGAAGGAAGGACAGAAAGAATGGGAGGGAGGGAAGAAAGAAAGGAAGGAGGGAAGGAGGAATGAGAGAGGGAGAGGGAGAGAGGGGAGGAAGGAAAGAAAGGGGAAGAAAGAAAAAGAAAGAGAAGGAAGGAAGGAGAGAAGGAAAGAAAGAAAGAAAAGACCAGATGCTGGTAGCTCATACCTGTAATCCTAGCTACTCAGGAGATTGAGATCTAAGGATCATGGTTCAAAGCCAACATAGGCAGGAATTTCATGAGACTTGGAAGTCCATGGTTACTTGGAGCTGTGTCACAGACTTTTCTGCCAAGTCTGGCTTTATAGAGTAATCCATATATCTCAGCCTTCTGAGTAGGTAGGATTACAAGTGTGAGCCATAAAGCTCAGCTGATTGCCTTAGAAATTTATTTATTTATTTACTTATTTATTGCTGGTCCTGGGGCTTGAACTCGGGGTCTGGGTACTGTCCCTGAACATTTTTGGCTTAAGGAGAGTACTACTTGAGCCACAATTCTATCTTCTGTCTTAGACTTGTGATTTGCATATTTTTAAAGCCCAAGATCCTCCCTCAGGTTCCTTATTACATTTAGTTTAGTTTTTTAAATAGTCATCTGCACTAGAACAAATTATATTAAGTGAGGTAAGCCAAGTTCAGAAAGACCAACTGTGCATGTTCTCTCTGATATGTGGAAATTAGATCAAAAATGAACTGGAATATGACAAATTATACAGGATTCTAGATACACACAGAGAGACCAAAAGAAGGTACTCTAAGGGGAGAAACACAGAGGTACAATGCCTCAGTGCCGCTTCATATTTATATAAAATAATATACATACTGAAATGAACTCCAAGATATGGAAACAAAATACTTTTTTAGAAAAAGTTTTTAGTTTTTGATGATTTTGTACTCGTTACCTTATGTATGGTATCTTCATATGTATATCTTCGGGAGGGTGGGGCAGGGAGGGCACAGAACTCAAGGGAGAAAGAGTAGTAGTGAAGGGCTGGGAAGGTAGCTTAGTGGGAGAGTGCTTGCCTAGCATTCATGAGGCCCTGGGTTCAATTCCTCAGTACACATAAATAGAAAAAGCTGGAAGTAGTTCTGTGGCTCAAGTGGTAGAGTGCAAGCAAAAAGAAGCTCAGGGACAGTGCCCCGGCCCTGAGTTCAAGAATCAGGACTGGCAAAAAAAAAAAAAGAGTAGTAGAGGAACTCATTGGACATTGATGAGAATGAACTATATACAAAAGGAGGAAGTGACTGGGAGAGGATGAGGAATCAGAAGACACTGTACAAAAGAAAATGTACTCATTACCTGACTCATATAATTGTAATCTCGCTGTACATCACCTCTATAATAACAATATCGTAAATTAATATTTTTAAAAGTCACCTATTTTGCTTCCTCCTGATCTGAATGCTTGCTCTGGAGCCTCCATTGTTCTTTTCTCCTTTGGCTTTTTCTCCTCCCTTTCTCTTGCGATAGCTTCAGTCCCTCCTCTGTCTTTTCTGTCCCTGCAGGTGTCAGCCAGCCCAGAGTGCAGGATGGATCTTGATGTGCTTAATATGTTTGTGATCGCGGGCGGGACACTGGCCATCCCAATTCTGGCGTTTGTGGCCTCTTTTCTTCTGTGGCCTTCAGCATTGATAAAAATCTATTATTGGTAAGTGAATAAGATCGATAATCTGTAAGAATATCACCACCTTGTCATCTTTGTTTGTGACCACCACTTTATCATGAAATATTTCAAAGGTATCAGTTGAAAGACATGCATCCTTTTCCAAATTTTGGAAGTGTTCTCAAAGTATTAATAATTGCTTCTTACCAGGTAAAATAGCATGGCTCTGTGTGCGTGCGTGTGTGTGTGTGTGTGTGTGTGTGTGTGTGTGTGTGTGTGTGTGTGGTGGGGGTGGGGTTGGAGTTTGAACTTAGAGACTTGTGCTTCTACTATTAGAGTCATACTCCATCTCTTTTTTTCCTTAGTTTTTTTTTTTTTAACTTTTTTTTGTGCCAGTGCTGAGGCCTGAACTTCCAACCTCAAGCTCTTGCTCTGCTTTTGTGCTCATGGCAGATGCTCTTCCACTTGAACCAGCCTTTTTGCTGGTTCATTGGAGATAGGGACTTTGAGGCTAGTTTTGAACCTCGATCCTCAATTCTCTGCCTCCTGAGTCAGATTATAGGTGTGAGCAACCAGGGCCCAGATACCAAAGTTATTTTTCAAATAACTTTGTAGGGGCTAGCTTTGGATTGCAGCGTGCCTTCGTTATCACTGGAATTACACATGTGAACATGTCTGGTTTGTTGGTTGAGACCTCGGGAGTGGGGGTCTTGATAACTCTTTTGCCCAGGGCTAGCCTTGAACTGTGATTCTTCTAGCTCCATATCCTGAATATCAGCTAAGTTTACAGGTGTGAGCTACCACACCAGGCACCACACAGACTCAGGTTTTAGATAGCATCTTTGCCTTTCAGGCTGTTACTGACTCTGTCACAGACAAAGATCATGCATGCTTGTGAGAACTACTTTGTGCTTTCTTAGTAGCTGGCCTTTGACCAAAACATCAGAGATGTTCTGAGAGATGCATTGATATCACTGAACAGCGGTTTCCAAACACTCGGGACCATTGAGAGGCATATGCAGGACAGAATGCTTTGATGCAGCTATAGAACTGTTCATTACTAAAGGGACAAAAAAAAAAGACATTTCAAAAGTACCTGTCAATTTCATCCCACCTTATTCTGCCCTATGTGCACAGCACCTGCATTTTTCTTTTGGAAATGATATCAATATTACTATTGTAAGGTGGAAAGTCTGCAATGCTTGCTACAAATAGTAAGTTAAGCAAGGTGTAGTAGGTAGCCTATGCTACCTAATGTAATCCCGGTCCTCAAGAGAGGTTGAAGCAGAAGGAAGATCTTGAGTCTAACCTGGGTGTACATATAGCCAAACCCTGTCTCAAGGGGGAAAATAAATAGTAAGTTAATATTAAAAAGTAAAAATAAGCACACTAAACAATTGCACTGTGTTCTAACCTAGATATTGTTGCCTATCAAAGGCTCTGAGTGTTTCCTTCTCGCTGCCAAGTAAACAAGAAGGGCAGCAGTCCTGACCAGAGCTTTCCCTTGATGAAATCAAGTCAATACTTGGAAAGGAAATAACTTTGGAAAAGGATGTGCTTTAGGTGACTTTTCATCCCAACATCCCTTTCCCAAATGAAATCTCCCCTCCTGCTTGCCTCTTCTCTTCCCACCTCCCCCTTCACCCTGCCCCCCTCCCCCCCACCCCCCCACCCCGCCCAGTAATGTGCATCCTAAGATGGACCAATCAGCCACCCTCTGTGCCATTGGGTAAAGCCATGGAGATCTAGTGAGACTTGGGAAAGTTAGAAGGAACTTGGACGCACTGGAGAAGATCCAGGAGGCTGGCGTGCCCTTCCTCTGCCCTCCTTTCTGGCTCTCTTTTGTTTTGCCAGTGTGGAATTTTCCGTCTGCCAGTCAGGCTGATCCTTAAAAAAGAAGCTAATTGAGTAGAAGGCAGCTTTTCATCTTCCTCTCTCTCCCTCTCTTTTGGTGTCACCCCTCCCCTTCCCAGTGTCACCGAGGACCCATCTCTACATGGCCTCCTCTGTACTGGCGCATCAGGAGTTATATGCTCTGGGGCCAAGGTTCCTCGGTGGCCCCAGGCCATAAGGAGGTCAGTGGCAGTATTCCTCCCCCACCTCATGGTCCAGAGCCAAGGCACCATGGCCCCCACACACAAATGGCATTTTATTAAGGAAATCAAGCTGGAGCAGAGACTCCAGCTCACTGATGTGGACGATGACTGTGGGTATGATTCCATACAGAGCTGTAATTATGTAAGGGCACCGCATTCCTCTCCCAGCCCCCCTGCCCCCCCACCTTCCCTGGGCTCCAGACGCTGTCAGAACCAGGATTTCTGAGGGATTTTGATCATTGATTTGTAAAGAGGCAGCAATAGTTTTCTTTTTTTTTTTTTTATTGAGTTCACATTCACCATGTTCAAGTGTACAGTGTGGTGATTTTAATACATTCCTAGTACTATCTGATCATTACTACTATACAATTCCCTAACTTTTATACTTCCCAAAAGAGACTCCAGACTCATTATCAGCCAGTCCCAGTTTTTCTCTTTCTTTCCATCTCCTGGTAGCTGCTAACCTACATTTAGTCTCTTAGGAGTTACCTAGTCCAGACACTTTTATCTGGGGTGGGGGTGGAGTGTCATGCAATATGTAACTAACTATATTATATATGGCCTCTTTTGCTTCTATTAGTATTTCCAAAACTCATGTATGTTGAGTTGTGTATGAGTATTGCATTCTTTTTTTTTTTTTTTTTTGCTAGTCTTGGGGCTTGAACTCAGGGCCTGAGTGCTGAACTTCTTTTGCTCAAGGCTAGTGCTCTACTATTTGAGCCACATCGCCACTTTCAGTTTTTTCTGAGTAATTTAGTTTGTTTCCAGGCTTTTCTGAGTAGTTTATTGGAGATAAGGGTCTCACGGACTTTCCTGCCCAGGCTGGCTTGAGATCTCAGCTTTCTGAGTAGCTAGAATTCCAGGCGTGAACCTCTAGCACCAGGCTGCATTCATTGTTGTGGCTGAATAATACTCCACCTATGTTTTGAGATGGTAGACACCTTCCAAAACTCACATGGAGATCTGATTCCCATTGTAGCAGTGTGGAGAGGGCTTATAAGGCTGATTAGCTTGTGGGAGGGATTAAAGAACTTCTACTAGATTTCTTTTAGCTACTCCATGAGAATGGATTGTGAGAGGAGGGAGCTTCTTGTGTTTTATCTTTTCTACACTTGCCCATTTGCCCTCTGCTCGCTTTCACAAGTTGAAGCGGCACAAAGCCCTCATCATAAACCAAGCCAAAGCTGGCACCATGGTCTCACATGTCTTAGCTTCTAGAACCATGAACCAAAACAAACCTCTGTCCTTTATAAATTTCCCAGTTTCAGGTAATTTGTTACAGCATCAGACAACAGGCCAAGATAGTGTGGTTATACCACATTTTGATTATCCATGAAGCTGCTGATAGTCATTTTGGGTTGTTTTCACCTTTTGGTTAGCCTGATAATGCTACATGGCAAATAATTTACTTAAAAAATTTTTTTTGTACTGATCCTGGAATTTGAACTCAGGGTCTGGGTGCTCAAGGTTAGCAGTCTGCCACTTCAGCCATAGCTCCACTTCTAGCTTTTTGGTAATTAAGTAATGATAAGACCCTCATGGACTTTCTTGCCTGGGTTGGCTTTGAAACATGATTCTCATATCTCAGCCTACTGAGTAGCTAGGATTACAGGCACGAACCCCAGATACCTGGCTAAATAAACTCACTTTTGTAAAGCAAATAAAACCATCCCCAAACTAGAGAAACATGACCTTTTTTTTTTTTTTACTCTTTAATGTGATTGCTATGTTAATGTGATATAAATAGCTAAGAAACACATGAAGAAGCCAGGCATTGGTTGCTCAGGCCTGTAATCCTAGCTACTCAGCAACCTATGATCTTGCTATGTTACACAGCCTGGTCTTAAATGATTATCCTTACAGGAAGCTGGGACTACAAGTGTTTACCACCATGCCCAGTTTAATGCAAATGTTCTTAAAGCTTGCCCAGCTCAGAGCAGTGGTCCATGGACAAACACGTGCCTCTTTAGTTTTTTTTTTAACTCAAACACATAGACCAAGAAGAAAAATCCTGGAAAACCTTTCCAATTATGCCAGATGGCATTGTCACGTGGGGGGATTATGATACAGTCACAGCATCCATGATGCCCCCGCAGAGAGCCGAGAGGAACCCTGGGAGTAGCGTCCTCTGCCACACTGAAAAGCACAGCCTGTTTCTTCCAAATCGCCTCATTGCAAGTGGCATTCACACCACGCTTGCCATCGGCTGAGCAGCTTTTCCCTGAGTCACTTGTATTTCTTAATGGAAGCCACTCCAAAGGCCTTGTTTGCTCTGCTGCCCCTAATGAGCCTCTAGGTGGGGTCTAATCTTCAAGATTGCCACACAAACAGGAATCACCGGCAGCAGAAGCAGCCCTGCCCATGCCCCTCCCTCTGTCTCATACCTACCCTGCTGGAAGGCTCCTCCTGTGCTGCCGACTCCTCCTGGGAGCTTGCCAGCTCCTTAGGGACCAAGCCACTTCCAGCCTTCAAAGCAGATCTCTCTGGGTCGTACTGTTCCTGGAACATGGCCAGCCCATTTCAACACTGGTGTAGTCCTCTCTTGCAGGAGATGCCAGATGCTTCTCTTAGGGCTTTCAGAGGGCACAGCTGGAGTGCTGCGGTCACTGGGGTGGGGAGGGGGGCTTCCTCTGCCCAAAGGGGCAATTCTGCCTTTCACTGTATAATAAAAATAGCCACACTATTCACAGGATGAGTAAGACTTTGATTTTCTAAGTTTTTTTTTTTTTTGGTCTTCCCAAAGACACTGGATTATAAACTCAGGATAAGAAATCATAGCAAAGCAAGGTGGTTCATGCCTGTAATCCTAGCCACTCAGGTGTATGAGATCTGAGGATCACAGTTCAGAGCCAGCTCAGGCAGAAAAGTACATGAGACTCTTATCTCCAATAAGCCACTCTGAAAAGGTTGGAAGTGGTGCTGTGGCTCAAATGGTAAAGGGCTAGCCTG